TGTGGATTTTTCCATGCTAACAGATTGATACAAAGAACATTTTGCATCAGGTCTCTGTAAAAAGCAAGCTTTCCTCCTGCACAGAACTGAGTACAGCTAACTAAGATAGTTGATAAAGAAAATAAATGCAGTAATTGTGCAACCGATGCCCAGGTTTCATAAGAATCCTTGGATTGCTAATGTTGCAACTGCTAGAGGTGTTATGCTGCCACAGGCATGTTATGTCAACACACTTCAAAGATCTGAACTAGATGAAGAAATAAATTGTAACACAAGGGTGATGCAAGCCACTTTGTTGTAAGAAAATGATTTGGAAAGGCATCTTGTGGCAGCATAATAGCATAGCTGGGAATAACAAAAGACTGAAAACTTCTGATAAACATGAAAAAAGCATCTTATTTGAAGAGCTGTTTTATGTATAAATGTATATGCTGGCACAAATTACCAGTGAGCCATCTATCAGCCCTTCCTTTCCTTATTGGCTCATGGTAGGTTTCTAACAGAAAACTTCTATTTTGTTTCAGGCTTTAGCCATGACTCAAGGAAATCCTACAGAAGGGAGATAACTTGATATAAAATGTTGGCACACTTACTACCAGAATAGTTAAGACTTCAGCTAAGAAGCTCCGTATATCTGGCTAAATCACCAATGGCTTTCCTTCCCAGGATGCTACATTTTTGAAGCAAAAAGAGTTTAATTTCCCATGTTACTGGAATTCAGACTCCACTACCTATATGACAATTAGTGTTTTCATCAAGTTAGTCCAAAAGGTTAACTATTCATCTTGTAATCAGTAGTATTCCAACAATAGCACTTTTCTATTTGACCCAGACCTCAGCTTCTAGTTAGGGCACAATTTTTGGTCTTTTATGTCATCCTTTAAATATGCTTGTTTATAACTGCCTTTAAAATCAATTTATTAAATAAAGAATATTCTTGAAATTGAAATCTCACCCACACATTGTTTCTATAAGCTACGATTAGACTTTTGGAAACTCAAAGTAGTTCTTTGGGGAGGAAGTCCAGGAGACAAAGGTGTCAGGTACCAGTATCTGTATGTTCCATACCAGGCAGAGATGCCAACCAAGGTGCCAAAAAACTTTTGAGAGAAATCGTGGAAATATATGGCAGTAGTAAAAAACATCCACAGCCAAATCATGGTCAAGCCACTCAAGGCCAGGAATAAGCTATTGATCACTCTGTGCAGTCTGGGATCCTGAGAGGTTTTCACACTGTGCATCACAGCCGTCTCCTCTGCGATCATCAAAGCACAGTATGAGAGGAGGAAGGAGTGTCCCGAGATGTCAAAACCATCCCAGAAGCCACCAGCTTTCTGGCACTGTAGTTTGTTGGAATGCTCCTGGTGCAGCAAGTCAAGGGATGGTGATCTGTAACAGCTACCTGTGAGGTCTTCAATGTGCAGGAACACCCCTGTGCATGTATACCAGATGGCAGTGCCAACCAGGAGAGTGCTGAGACGTTGAGCTACCGCCATAATATTCCGTGTAACATGGTAGTTGGTAATGCTGATGAAAGGCAGGAGCAGAATGAGTGTCCAGGCCCAAGCGAATTTGACAAAATAGCTACCAGAGAGAAATGGAAAAGAAACATACTAAGCTCCTGGAATTAAGAGGTGTAGTCACAGATGTTACCAAATGATACCATTTATATCAACCTGGATCCATAATAGTCAATAAGCCCTGACTTTCTAGGTTGAAGAGAGGGATTTATGTCAGATACTTATGGATCTTTATTATGGAAAAAATCAGTGCTCTTCATTAACCTAGCAATCTTATTTAATATCAACATTCAAAAGCAACTCTTAAAAAAAGCTTAGTCTTTAAACAAGCCAAAAGATAAGATTAAATAGGGAGGCTGAGTTTCCATCTAGATTAAGAGTAACATAATATGAGGTCCTAAACTCTATATATCCTAATTAATACCCTCGAATAAGGGACAAGGCTATATTTTAGCACAAAGCATATGATTTACATGTAAAAAATATACTTGGGTTCATAGCAACCCAAGATAGGTTCAGGTAGGTTTGGGAAACAGCTCTGAAAATGAGTAGCAATGGTTCTGAAACCCTGCAGAACCATTGCTACTCATTGCAGACAAACCTGTGCAGGGTGAACTGAATTTCATAAATTCATGTACTCAGGAGAAAATCCATTATTGAAAAAGAGTTGCTGATGCTAGTATTTCTGCTATGCCTACAAGACAATTAGTTTCTTCAGGGATTCTAATTTAATTAAGGAGAACCAGGGGTAGGCAACCTTTCCCCTTTAAGGGCCGAGGGACTTCAGCTCCCAGAAGCCTCAGCCATGTTGGCCAATAGTCCCATGTTGGCCAATAGCTCCTGGGATTCTGGGAGCTGAAGTCCCTCGGCCCTTAAAGGGGAAAGGTTGCCTATCTCTGCTCTACAGGGTGACTCAAACGTCTGGCAAAACTACAAATCCCAGAATGCCATCCCATGGAGCCTTGGCTGTTAAAGCGGTGTCAAAATACATTAATTCTGCAATGTGGATGCAGCCCCAGTTGACCCTTCCACCACTATGTCCCTCCTTCCTGCGCCTGTCAATCAACTCCGCCCGCTCCGCCCCCGTTACCCATAGCCACGCCCCCATTGCCCATAGCCACGCCCCCGAAGCTCCTTACAGATTGATCAGGTTGCGCTTGTTGCTCATGTAGGTTTCCGGCACGGGCGCCCAGTCCTTCAGGAGGGACCCGCCCAGCATCAGGCTCAGCAGGCCCAAAGGCATCGCCCGCCGCACCCGGTCACTGACCAGGAAGGGCTTTAAGAAGGCCGCGCAGCGGTCTATGTACTCCATTCTCTGGCAGGGCGACGCCGCTTGTGGAGAAGGGCAAAGAAACCGGCGAACGGCGGCGGCTGACGAACTTGTCGGCCGCCGTACTACGTCACACCCCTCCCCTCCCCTCCCCTCTTAGTGACTGACAGGCTTCCTAGCCGGCTCCCAAGGCGCAGGCGCGACTCCCAAGGGTTGGGGTGAACCCCGGCAGGAGGCTCGTGCTGGAGTCAGTAACGGTCGTTTGAGCGGGCTCCTGGTTGCGCATGCGCCTGGCATTTAGTGTTACCCTGCCCTGCCTTGAACTTTTGGTCAAAGCTGAGGGACTTCAATGCAGAGTTACTTAAGAGAAAATCCCACCGACCCAGGCTTGGCAGATGTCCTAACCGCAAAGGAGGACAAGGCACTGCCTAATGTAGGACATTGAAGAGGAAAAAAATGGAGGGCGTGACCAAATAAAAATGGAGATTACAAAATAAAAGCTGAAAACACTCAGAAATATAAATTCATGTTTCTTAGCCATGCTCAAAATGGAGGACGTTACAAAATAAAAGCTTAAAGACACTCAGAAATAAAAATCCATGCTTCATAGTCATGCGCATAATGGAGGGCATTACAAAATAAAAGCTGAATCGTTTGTACAAGTATAAATTCATGCTGCTTAGTCATGCTCAAAATGAAGATTACAAAATAAAAGCTGAAAATACTCAGAAATAGAAATGTATGCTTAGTCATGCTTAAAATGGAGGACATTACAAAACAAAAGCAAAATACACCGAGAAATACAAATTCATGCTTCTTAAATCATGCTCGAAATGGAAACAACAGGTGAGAAATAAAGAGAAATTCATAGAATCATAGAGTTGGAAGAAACCACAAGGGCTATCCAGTCCAACCCCCTGCCATGCAGGAACTCCCAATCAAAGCATCCCTGACAGATGGCCATCCAGCCTCTGCTTAAAGACCTCCAAGGAAGGAGACTCCACTACTCTCCGAGGGAGTGTGTTCCACTGTTGAACAGCCATGTTTCTTAGTCCTCAAAATGGAAGGCATTACAAAATAAAAGATGAAAACACTCATAGAAATAAAAGTCCATGCTTCTTAGGGGGTTTGCAGACTGCCAGAAATAGTGCAAATTGAGTCCACTTTTAGGGTTAGGGTTAGTGCTAGGGACTCATGGGAACTGTATTTTATTGTGGCATCAGAGCTCTCTAACAGAGAAGGCTCAATGTCTCAGAAAAAACTACAATTCCCATGATTCCCTAGCGCTAACCCTAACCCTAAAAGTGGACTCAATTTGCACTATTTCTGGCAGTCTGCAACCCCCATTAGTCACATACAGAATGGAGGGTGTTACAAAATAAAAGGTGAAAACAATCATGTATTTAGAAATGCATGCTTCTTAGTCATGCTCAAAATGGAGGCCATTGCAAAATAAAAGCTAAGAACATTTACATAAAGAGAAATTCATACTTCTTAGTCAAGCTCAAAGTGGAGGATGTTTTGGAATTCTTCCTGTGCAGATGGCTGAAATGTAGGACAGGTCCTGGGAAAGGAGGATGTCTGGTCACCCTGCACTGACCCTGGAGACTGGCAGGGTTTTACTATTTTGGTTGTCCTCCTCTGGACATGTTCCAGCTTGTGCACATCCTTCTTGAATTATGGTGACACAATATTCCAGGACAGGTCTGAACCAAGCAAAATTGTTGTCAAGTCGTTTCTGACTTAATGGCGACCTAAAACTTTCTTGGCAAGTTTCTTCAGAAGGAGTTTGTCATTGCCGTCCTCTGAGGCTGAGAGAATGTGACTTGCCCAAGGTCACCAAGGAGTTTATCACATGGGAGGCAAAGCATCCAAATCCTGTGGATAAATGGGGTTTAAATCCCGGAGTAATCTTGCAAGAGCAGGATTGTTTTCAGACATGTCAAGTGAATTAAGCATTAATGCGACATCAACTTGTATAAAAAGCAGCAAAATCGCGCCGCTTTTTAATTTTGGGATTTCCCCGAAGTTAAAAAGTGGCACGATTTTGCTGCTTTTTGCATGAGTTAATGTTGCGTTACAGCTTAATTCGAGCGACGTCATCTGAAAACAATCTCGCTCTTGTGGGGTTTCCCAGGGTTTAAACCCCATTTATGCGCAGGATTTGGGCACTTCTCTTCTATGTGATAAACTCCCAAGTGGGTTTACATGGGCAAGCTGGGATTCGAACGCTGGCCTCCAGAGTCGAAGTCCAACACTTAAACCACTACACCATGCTGCCTCTCTAAAAAAAAAAAAAGGGGGGGGGAGATCATGTCTCAAGTGTGTATGGAGGTTATATTATCAACTATCCTAATCTTGACCTTACCATTAGATGTATGAAGCCTGTCTTGTTTGTATATGTGCAGTGTTTGCTAAGAGATAATCTTATATTCCAAAACAGTGTTGGCTTCAGAATGTTTTGTACAGGGAAGCCCTGGCTCACCTTCAGTCTTGAATGCATAACATTCATTTGTCAAGTGGAAATATGTTTGTGAATACTGTATTTGATAGCAGGAGCAATGATTTCCAGAGGATCTCACTAGAGGTAAAGCTTGCTGAGAGCTGGAGATCTGCAGCCTGATTGTATTAATGTATATTTGGAAATGATGTGGTGTGCTCAATGCGTTGTACCTGAAAAAGTACAGTAGCAACTGAAAAATTTAAAACCATTTAGCTGTTGTATGTTAGATGTTGTGGTGTGCCTTCAGGTCATTTCTGATTTCTGATGATCCTCAGGGGAACCTATAGTGGGGTTTTCTTTGCAGATTTAGTTCAAAAGGCGGGGGGGGGGGTTACTTCCTCTGAGGATGAGAGAGTGTGACTTGCCCAAGCTCACCCACTGGGTTTCAGTGGCTGAATGGGGATTTGAATCAGTGTTGTAGTGGCCCAAATCCATTTGATGTTCCCAAATACGCTCGCCCCTCTATTATCACAGAGGGGCGAGCTCCATAGGTTAAAATGGTGCGCACGCAGGAGCACGCATCTATTCAAGCCAATAGGGCTTGAATATTAGTGAGTTTACATTTTCCCAAGGGTGTTGGTGTCTGGAACGGATCCCCTGCAAAAACAGATGGGCAAGTGTAAAGTAGTTCCATTGAATCAATTGCTAAATGTGAAATCAACACTTTAAAAAATTCCACTAATTCACTGGGTCTGCACTACTGGATGCAGGATCTGGTGAAAGCCAGAGGGGGAAACTTCCATATTTGCTGGAATTCCACATATGCATCTGGAGCTGGATTTTGAGCATCTGTGAAGGATGCAACGGAGAGCAAAGGAGAAGGGAGGTCCATCATGCTGGTATTTCAGTACCATCAGTATGTTGCGTATAAGCCAAAGTCCTTGTTTGTTTTCTTCTCTGTTGTGTCTTTTCAGGTTATAAACAAAGAAAAGGGGCTGTCCTATTTTTTTTATTATTTATAAATAGCTGTATGACCCTTTCTAGCTGAAAAGTGAGGTATACATTCTATACAAAAGCTTTCACACAAATGTCTTAATATAGTGCTGAAAGTTTGAAAACTATATTCCTGGATATTTTTTTGGGGGGGGGGAAGGAGAATAGCTGATCATATTAAGAGAGGAACATGATATACTTCATTCTAAGGGTCAAGTGTCCACGGATCTTAAAGCTCTCCTTCCATTTCTGTCTTATAGCCCTGGAAAATTGTCATTAGAGTTCCTACTTGGTTTTTTCCTCTGTCTGCTTGGTGATCTGGAACCGAGTACTTTTCGCATTCACATTGAGTTTGGAGAATATCTTCTTGGAGAAGGCCTTTTTTAAAATTTTATTTTATTTTATTTTATTTTATTTAAAAACTTTCTCCTGCCTTTTGGGTGGTTGTGTAGGAGGAGTTCTTTCAGAGAGCCTTTGAAACTCTCTAATTGTTTCACTCTCTAATTCTCTGAAGATGCCAGCCACAGATGCTGGCGAAACGTCAGAAAGGAACTCTTCTAGAACATGGCCACACAGCCCGAAAAACCCACAAAAATCTATGGATGCCGGCCATGAAAGCCTACGACTTCTCACTCTCTAATTGTTTCATAGAACCACATGAGGTTTTGGGTGTTCCTTTATGGCCTATCTTTTGTAATACAGTCGACTCTTCCCATCCGCAGGGGTTTGGTTCCAGGCCTCCCCACAGATGGCAAAAGACAGAGACAGTCATGCCCCATATTGGACATTGACACATCCATGCACATATCACCTCTGTTTAATAGTATGAGGAGTAGTGATCCATGGGTGGTAAAATCCTAGGATCGCCAGCCTGCCAATACGAAGGTCTACTCTATTATTATTATTATTATTATTATTATTATTATTATTATTATTATTATTATTATTATTAAATTTGTAAATTTCCTTTCAGACTCATTGGGTCAGAGATGAGGTTGAAGTGTTTTATGAATGAAAAATGGAAATTTTATGTATGCATTACTGTATACACTCAACTATAAGTCAACCTCATGTATAAGTTGAGGGCAGGTTTGGGGGCCAAAATTATGGATTTTGCCATGACCCATGGATAGGTCAAGGCAAAATTTGGAGACTTTTTGCTTCATCGTTTCAGCTTTCATTTCATCCAGATGTGCGGGTGGGAGAGGGACTCTTAAACAAACAGCAATATCAGTTGGGTCCAGTTGGGTCCAAGAAGATCATCGTAGCAGTTGGGTCCAAGAAGATCATCATCATCTGCATTGCCTTCACTATTTTGGGTGTCAACACCTGAATCACCTTTGTCTTCCCCATTAATAGGCTTCTCTGGTTTATCTTCTTTCAGTTTTAGCTTATTATGAAATTCACGATCGATTTCCTCTTTATTGAATGTGTTGGTCTTTGCAAAAGAGGTGCATTCATTTGCTGTAAAAATTGTCACCAGCACTGGGGTTTGGTTTTTTTTTTTTTAATTCAAAGGGGGCATGGAGCAGGAATCTTTTTGGAATAAAAAATAAAATAAAATAAACAAACAGCAATATCAATCAATCAATCACCCAGGACTCTTTCTGCTTGGTTCAAGAGCGAAAGAAAGTGCATGGGGAAATCTGAAAGAGCTGCTATCACATTACCATAGTGACCTGTTAAAAAGTCGACCTGGAATTTTGGGGTCAGTTTTTGGGCATAGATTTTTAGACTTACAGTTTCATTTATCTAAATGCCATAGAAATGAGTTGGAAATGAGTGTGAAAACAGGTGCTGGGCCTATTAAATAGATATCTGAAGTCGCAAGACACATACTAGCATTGATCATGACACTTGAAGTATTTCTGGATAGCTTCTTCAAAAGATTTTATTCAGTGTACTGCCCAAATAGCAAATAAAATGCCAGATAAAGGTATTAAAAATAGGAATGTTCCTACATAAATCATAGTGCATTCATACTGCTCCACTTCAAAAAGAAATCACAAAAATCAGACTAAAAAAAGAATAGAGCAGAATGACAAGAGTTGCATGAGGACAAGGAACACAGTTATGTGTGCATGCCTGATGATTTCCACAGAGTGGCAGCATGTCTTTAGAAAAATCAGATCTATCCCCTGTAACCAGCAGTGTGCTTCAAAGTAACTCATACAGTTATTACTATAGGCTCAATTATCACCTGTTTTAGTGGTGCAAATGTAAGTGAATCAACACCTGGACAAGCACTTTTACCTAGCAAGAACCTATTAGTTTATTTTAATCTAACTTTATGTATCCTAGAGAGTAGTTACCTTCTATTTTCAAAATAATAATAATAATAATAATAATAATAATAATAATAATAATAATAATCCTTTGAGCTATATGTGAATTGAGAAGTATTTCTGGAGGACAGAACAGAAGAACATGCAAACTGCATTGCATATACAGCAGTCCCATTACTTTCCTTGTTGTTAATTGCCATCAAGTCAATTTCCACCCATGGTGGTGACCCTGTGAATGAGAGACCTCCAAATCACTCTGTTATCAACAGTCCTGCTCAGAGAAATGGCTTTTTATTTATCTGTAATGTGATCTCTGTCTTTTACTATTCTTTCTATATTACCAAGCATTCTTGCCTTTTCTAATGAGCCATGTCTTCTCATGATATGTCTAAAATACCATAGCCCTAGTTTAGTCATCTTGGCTTCTAGTGAGAGGTCAAGCTTGGTTTGCTCTTGGACCTCTGTGTGTGTGTGTGTGTATGTGTCTTTTAGGCAATTATAATATTTGTAGAACTCTCCTCCAGCACATCATTTCCAATGAGTTGATTCTTTTCCTGTCAGCTTTCACTATCCAGCTTTCATAACCATACATAGAAATCGAAAATATGATAGCATGCACAATCCTGACTTTGGTATTCAAAGATACATCTTTCCACTAGAGGACCTTCTATCCTTCTTTCATATTACCTTCCTACTAATAGCTTATGCAACTTGAGCACTGTATTGTGCTATGTTTTTAGGAAAATGGAAGATTGTGGATTGTTTTAGGAGTCCCAGGAGTCTGGCTAAGGTGGCACTGAAAGAGATCAGTACTGGGGAAAAAGAGGTTAATACTTTTGTGTATGCACACACAAATGTGTAGTAGCCTTGATGGCACAGTGGTTTAATGCCAGTGCTGGATCCACAAGGTGGGGAGTTTGATCCCAGGGGCTCCAATGTTGAGTCAGCCTTCCATTCTTTCATAGGTCGTAAAATGAGTACCCAACCAGTTGGGGGCAATTAGCTTACAGATTGTAAACCGCTTAGAGAGTGCTGAGTGCTGAGTTCATTGATAAGCAGGATAGAAATGTACATGCAATTGCCATTGCTTTTCGTTTTGGTTTTCTGCTGGTCCATAACTGACTATTTAGTTAGTAAATGTTGTTGAATGGGTTTGAGCTATAGCTATTCTTCAATCAGATCCATTGGGGGATGAAATATTTGATATAATATTGTCTTTTTAAAAGTTTAAAACTCTTAAAAGGCAATGAATGCAGAAAATAATAATAAATGTAATTGTTGCTTTACTAATCAAATTATTTTGGATGCCAGTGTAAAACTATCTCTTGCACTTTTAGCCACCTGCCTGAAACACTACTAATATACCCATGATATTTGTGTTTGAAAATTCTAAAAACTTCTCTGAAATGTTGGACAGGATTTTTGAATAACAGAGCAGAATCTGCACACTTCTCAGATTTTAGATCTTTCTAGCAAAAAAAGTTCAGCTTTAGCATTCCCAGCAGTAAGACATATTTTCTGCAGATACAAAGAGTTGTGGATTTCTAAAGGACCAATAAT